GGGGGGGGGGGGGGGATAATGTTACACGGGATAAGAAATGGTTTAACTTGCCTAAGCTTGGTTTCCCAGCTGCTAGGCTTGCATCTTAAAAGAAATTTCTGGGTGGTCCTGCTGCTGAACACTGAAGGATCTCTTGCAGTACTCAACTGCTCAGAGACGTCTTGTTTTGATTAACTTTGCAGTGCTCGGTTGTTCTCTGGAAATTCTGGAATAAGCTTTAAAGTAGTAGCTTAATGTAGAAAGCACGTGCTGGTTTCATTCTCAGTCAAAATAATTTTTTTACATCGTGTTTTTCCTTGTCAGTGTTAGTAGCGAATGATCAGCTGCTCATCACCTTTTAGTTTGGCCGTGGAGCCAAGGAACAGAACTGTACTGTGGTAAGTTTCTTTGTCTTTAGAGTTGAAGATTTGTTTGAATAATAAAGTCTTTATCTTTTTGTCACTCAGAGAAGAATACCCATTTAATTTTTTGAAAGACTATCCCTAAAGATGAATTGCCAGGCCCAGGGAGATGAATCATTGCACTTGGAAAACTAGAACTTTTGAACTTAGTATAACTTTTCTACTTTCCCCAGTGCCTCTCCTGTCCTGTATAGGTATTCTTTTGTTTCTTCTTTTTAGTCAATGCAGCTGTAAGAGTATTGCAGCAATCATTTTGGGATTGGCTTGGCTCCACCCCAGTTACAAGACAAAAAGCTTTGATTGCTTGTAGAATTGTACTGTAAGTTTTGCATAACTTTTTGAAAAGATGAAAAGATTAGTAACTTGTAGGTTTGTTAAAAAGTTGGAAGTAGGAACATGAAAAAGTTTATACAGTATATAGAATGATATCTTCTGAGCCAAACCTCCTGCTCTTCTACTGCAGCCATAATTCTGCCTGAATTTTGTTTCTGTTCTTTCCCATGGCATATACATCCAAGTACGGCAGAGTAATCCTCACCTCAGGTGCTGTTTTCATATCTTTCAAACTGCAAATGTCATGGGTAGATTTTGATCGAGTGCAACCTGATTGTTTTACCTCATTATTTACATCTTGGAGTTCTTTCAGCCACGCTGCAGTGTTTGGGCTCCAAGCAAAATGCATCCTTGAAGGTTAGGTTTGACCATGCCCCAGATGCCTACAGAGTTGTGAGCCAGGTTAAGTCAGACCATTAGGAAAACATACTATTTAAATCTAGCTCATCTTGAATTATGTGCACTGTAAGTCACTGTTAAGTCAATGTTCCCCAAACTTGAAATAACGTCCTCAAATGAGAATCTTAAATATGTCTTTTCTACCCCTTTCTTCCCTTGAAAAAGAGGCACCAAGTGTGTTTTCATCCCTATCTTGCTGTTAAATGGCTCTAGGATTGAAGTATCTGTCTTTTCATCCAATGGAAATGCAAATGTAAAGCTTGGTAACTTAACTTTAACAAGACATATCAAGAAATGTTGACACTTCAAATACCATCTTTGGTATTTGATTTAACATCTATGAAAATAACACAATTCATCTTTTAACTTTTGTTTCAGGCAAGTTTGGGCAGATATTCTTTTAATTATACTTTGTTCATACTCATTTTTCTTTGCCTTCATAATTGCTTCAAACTAACACTGTTTTAAACGAACACTGGATGCTGGATTGCTGGGAGGTATTTTTAAGTGCTTTCGAGGCATCTGATCCTTACATCTCTTAGCAATGTGGCTTAAGCTCATTCCTTCTCCTGCCTTCTTTCCTCTGCCCTGGCCCCTAGAATAAACATTTCACGTGGCTAATGCTTTAAAATAGAAGCTGTATGTC